CCCCGCAAAACCCACAATGAATAATGTTGATAGCAGTGAACTTTAAGCTATTAGCAGAGTTCCAGCAGAAGGCAACTATACCTATTTATCAGTGATACTCTGGAGGGGCCCCTTATAGTCTTGACTAAATGATCTCTGATACTTTTGAAATGTGACAGTCTCTGATTCCACAAATATTGTTTATTAACTTCTCAACAGGATACTTTACACTCACCAAATGGATACCACTATTATAGGGACATGAACTGTTAACAAGTGGAAATTTGAAAGCTGCAGTGTGGACAAAGGGATTTTATACCTGTTTCAAATGTGTAAGATGAAAAAAAAAAAAAGGCTCAGGTTTATTTTATTTATCAGGAGGTAGATTCTAGAAAGTTTCTAGAGCATGGCCTTCTGACAACTTCAAATATTGGAACCATGTGGAAGTAGGAACTCATCATGTTACCATCAGTGGATTCCCATGATTTTTAGGACAAAGTCTAGAGCTTTAAACATAGTCTCCTGGTCTTTCCTAACATGACCCTGGCTATCTCCAGCACATCATTCTGAGAATCAATGTTTCCCCCCTCTTCTCATGCATCTGTTGCTTCACTGAAAGAACCAAGCTCAGAGCCTTTCACACATGTTGCTTTCTCTGTCTGGACTCCCCTCTCACTTTTGTTGCCTAAACTTTACCTGGTTAATTCTTCCCAATCCTTCTGGTTTCACCTTAAATATAGTTGCATTTCTGCATTAATTTAATAAATATTTATTCAAGGCTTATTATATGCTTACAATCATTTCCTCAGGGAAGCCTTCTCTGACCTCTCAAGACTAGGTGTCCCATTAGATTCTGTCATTGCAAATTATATTTTAACTTTCTACCACCTATCACAACCATAACTAATTATTTACGTAATTCTTTACTTAATGTATGTTCTGTTTACTAAACTTCATGAGGAACAATGTCTATTATGCTCATCTTTGCATTCCCACTGCTGAGCACAGCACCTGGTATATATTTTGGGTGGCCCCAAAATACCTATTAGATAAGTAAATGAAGGTAAGGCAAATTAAGGCAAAGAAGAAAATCTGTCAACAAACAAAGAATCCTTGTGCAGCAAGAGGTCACAAAAATGATTGAGGGGTGACTAAGTCTTGGGGCTTACATCAAGATACTATGTGATGGCTTCACTCACTATTAGAAGGATAGGAACCCTCCCACTCATTGGCAAAAGGTATACAATTCGAGCTGCTTAGAAGAACACGCAATTGCACAGGAGAAAGAGCAGGGAAGGGGAGCTAAAGAAAGAAGAAAATAGAAATTTAGAAAGGGGAGGATGAAGGAACAGAAACAACAACAAAACCCAATTCAACAGTAATAAGAAAGGCAGTAGCGGATTTGGAGCAGGA